TGCTGCCAGACACTACCAGAACACTGGTGTCCCACCTGTAGGCACCGGAATAATGATCCCAGCAGTGTCTCTAACTCTCGGAGCGCCCCCACGTGACGGAGGGGCAAAAGCGAGCAGCCTAGAGTGAAGTTGAGGTACATTCAGATATAGCTTACTGAAATTCACAAGCAAGAGTCCCAAGACTACTAGACGAGCGACCCCAAGATTTTCTTTCATGCCAGAACCCCCAATTCCCGTGCAGAGCATGGGCAAACCTCTTGTCCTGATAGATATGATACCAAACATGTGTGGTGATTCTGAAATCTGTGTGTATTTTGGCCACCAGCTCACGGATTGATAAGGAAGAGATAAGATAAGATGCCAACAGCACAATGCAAACTTGCCTGGACGTACATACTCAGCCACGCATCCAACCTGCAAGGCAAAGGAAAGGCAGCTGCCCAGGAGCCTGGAAGCCAGATAACGAAATTAACCCAATCTGTGCAAATAAAACTAGTGCCATTGTAAATTGGTGAACTGAGATTCTGTTGATGATCGCACTAGGGCACCAGCACCTATCCTTGCCTGTGCAGATTTGAATCTTGTAAATTCTGTAAATTGAGATCAATTTACGGTAAATTTCTCAGAAATAAGTTCTTATGTGCACTTATGCTGCCAGAGGGAAGCTTATTTATGACATGGCATGATTTTTCAAGTCCTGGCCTGAGAGGTGCAATCGGAAGGCAGGCCTGGAAGCAATGGATGCTAGTGCTCACTCCTGTTCCACTGCGTGACAGCTCTATCTGTTGTTGGGTGCTGCCTGGCTGGATTCAGAATCCATTCCCTCACTCCCGGAATTAGGCAGGATGTCATGACCTGTCCCCGGCTGACGACATCCGATCAGGAGCTGAGAGACATCCGTTTGTAGCTGTTTTGGCTCTTCAATTATATTGTTCCTTTGTTTGTTATTTGTCTTTGATTTCTTAGCATACATGTGCCTCATTATCTTATTGTCACTAGCGTACACGTTCCCTACACAAGTCGTACAGCTGATGGCTCATTGTCGTAGCTAGTCCATTATCCATTGTAGTATATAAGGGACTGCAGGATGACCAAGTCTGGCAGTCTGAATATCATACTCGACTTCTAATCTCCTACTCTCGTTCTCATCTGTTCTCAACTGTTCGCATCCGCTCGACATCTGACACTGGCCTAAGCCTATACTTCAAAATCGGACCAAGACTATCTCGAGGGCGCAACGCACGCACATTGAAGCCACGGTCCACATCTAACTCCCACTTCCAAAGCTCATCTGACACATCCGACCCCCGGCTCACTCCAGCTCACTCCGGCTCAGCACAGGTCATAACAGTATATTCAGACTACAAGCTCAAATAGTCTGTCTACATGGCTACAGGTCGTCACACAAGGACTGCCCAACAAGCTGGTATTCAAGAAACCATGCTTTCCTTCACCCATCATCGTCGTCCAACGGTTCCAACAGTTCAACAACCTCTTCAACCCTCTCCACAAAACCCCTTCACTCCTTACCTCACTCCCTCGGCCCAACTCTACCCGGAAACTCCAACTCATGCCTCAGCTTCCCTTGCTACACTGTACATCCCAAACCCTTGGGCACCCGAGCCACAAGGTCCGCTCAGTCCTCTGCACATGTCTGGCTGATTCCTACTGGCCGAAAGCACTTATCCGAGGACCGGAACATACCATCCAACAGGCTTCCATACCCCAGCTCCCATCTCTCCAGCTCTTCCAACTGTTCTCAAACAGATGGAATCGGAAAGCACGGACCACTCGGGAAGTGAGCCTACTGAGGTTCGTTTCCTCTGGAACCAAATGCAGCTCACCGAAGCCATCCACCTCATGGCCAGGAATATGTCAAATATGCCGATGATGCAGCCGCATCAAGAGCTGACTCCTCGGCCCAAGTTGAAGGCTCCGGATGTGTTCAACGGCACAAGTGTGCAGAAACTAGACCCTTTCCTTGTCCAATGCATGATGTATATCACACTCCGGCCCCACAAGTTCACCACCAAAGACTCCAAGGTCGGCTTCATGTTATTGTATCTGTCTGGCTCCCCCTACAACTGGTTCCAATTGCAAATCACTGCTGCCCTCGAAACTGGAATGGCCCAGACCATCCCATGGCTCTCGGATGTTTCGCTCTTCATTGAGGAGCTCAAACAACTTTTCAGCCTGTGAGACCTGGTCGCAGATGCCATCACCCACCTCGAGAATCTCACCTTCTGAGACTCTGGCAAAGCTGTGCGATATACATTGGACTTCAACCAGTACATGGGCTGCACAGGATGGAACGAACGCGCCCTTTACCATCAATACTACAAAGGACTTCTGAATCGGATCAAGGACAAATTCCCTTGTATGGGCAAGCCAACCACCCTCATCAGTCTGCAGCAATCCACCCAGGACCTCGACCATTGCTATTGGGAGCACCAAAACGAGATCAATCACAAAAAGTGCAAGGACAACGCCAACAGCAAGTCCAGCACCAGCAACAACAATGGCCCCAGTTCTGGCTCGTCCAACTCCAAGGGCAACTCAGCCGGTTCATCTTCTGGCTCTGGCTCTGGCTCCTCGAACTCCAAGTCCAGCTCCAACTCCAGCCACAACAGCAAGGATAAGGACAAATCCAAGTCCAAAGGCTCGTCCTCAGACAAGCCAAATCCCCTGGCTGACAAGTTGGGTTCTGATGGAAAGCTCAAGCCCAAGGAATGAGAATGCCAGCTCAAGGGAGACCTTTGCCTCTTTTGTGGAAAACCTGGCCACATTGCTTCTGACTGCCAAAAGCGTAATGCCACCAAAGGTCGTGCCTCGTCTACCACAGCCACCCCAGCTGCTCCAGCTCCCACCGCTTCCACATCTGCTGCTCTGGCTGCAAAGGACACTAAGTCCAGAACAGCAAAAGAGTAAGCAGCCCTCCACCTTCAGCATTGCCAGAGGGTTGCGGTTGCTCTTGCAATGTCCCCAAAGAAGTTCGCCTCAATGCCGCAGCACTATCCGATCCCGACTCCCTCACACTCCCTGTTACATTACACTCATGACTCACAGTCTTGGCCACTGGCCTGGTTGATTCTGGCTCCACTCATTGCTTTATCGACACTACCTTCATATCCATTAATAGTCTCCCTACTTACGATATACCTCCTTTAGTCTTACGCCTCCTTGATGGGACTGTTAACTCTTGGATAACCCAAGCTGTCGATGTCCCTATCTGATATCCGACTGGCAACATTCTTTCCTCAACTTTCTATGTCACTAAACTGGATTCTTCATGTGCCTTAGTCTTTGGATACAATTGGCTGCGTAATTACAATCTGTTGATTGACTGGTCTGCAGGCCTTTTACATTCTTTCCGACGTCTTCCACGATCGGAGGCTCTTCCAGGCCTATCTGGCCACTTGGCTTCCACCTTGCCAGCTACTCCAGTCATTGCCGAGTCACCTCCAGTCCCTCCTGATCCTCCTGCCCCTCCTTACGAACCCTCTCCCACGTCATCCACTCCCTTACCTCACATCTCCCTCATCAATGCAGTCGCTTTCACTTTTGCCTGCTGCCTCCCAGGGTCAGTCTCGTTCCAACTGGCCCTATCTGAAGACGGTTCTGTCTTGGCTTGCTCTTTGGCTACCGATAACCCAGAACCTGTTGACCTCTCATCCGTCCTGGAAGACTACTATGACTTCCTGGATGTGTTCAGCAAATCCAAGGCTGATACCCTCACTCCTCATCGTCCCTACAATCTCAAGATTGACCTTGAGGAAGGTGCCGAGCCACCCCTCAGCCAGATGTATTCTCTCTCCACTACCAAACTTCAAGCCCTGCGAGAGTTCTTGGAAGAGAATACTCGATCCAAATTCATCTGACCATCCAACTCGTCTCACGGAGCCCCCATCCTCTTTGTTTGGAAGAAGGACAGCTCGCTTTGGCTCTGCATAGACTACCACGGCCTTAACAAAGTCACCAAGAAGGACCGCTATCCCCTCCCGCTCATCTCTGACCTATTGGATGCTCCTGGCAAAGCCAAGGTCTTCACCAAAATTGATCTTTGGCATGCCTACCACCTTGTCAGAATTGCAGATGGTGACAAATGGAAAACCACATTCCAGACCTGCTACGGCTCGTTCAAATGGGGTTATGCCATTTGGCTTATCCAATGCTCCAGCCGCCTTCCAGCGATTCATGAACGACATATTCTCAGATCTCATCAATGTCTCAGTTATCGTCTACCTGGACAACATTCTCATCTACTCTTTGGATCTCACCTCACACAAGGAACATGTCAAGGAAGTGCTCCAATGACTTTGGAAGCACGGACTTTATGCCCAGCCTGACAAGTGCGAATGGCACACTGACCGTGTTGAGTACCTCGGCTACATTCTTTCAGCTGATGGTCTCTCCATGGCAGCTGACAAGGTCAAGATCATCCAGGACTGGCCCAAGCTGCAGAAAGTCAAGGACATTCAGTCCTTCCTTGGCTTTGCCAATTTTTACAGACGGTTCATTTACAACTACTCTGACATCTGCGTTCCCCTCACCTGGCTCACTCGAAAGGGTGTTCCCTTCAAGTTCTCTGATGAAGCCTGGGAATTGTTCAACTACCTCAAGAAAGCCTTCACCATGGCTCCCATCCTCACCCAATGGATCCCAGATCGGCCCATCATTCTCGAAACCGATGCTTCTGACTACGCTCTCGCTGCCATCCTCTCTATTGAGCTGACCAATGGAGAAATCCATCCGGTTGCTTTCCACTCCCAAATGTTCAATCCGACCAAACTGAACTATGACATCCATGACAAGGAACTTTTCACCATCTATGAATCGTTCCAGATCTGGCGACACTACCTGGAAGGCTCCGGCACACCCATCAACATTGTAACTGACCACAAAAAACCTTGAGTATTTTGCTACCACGAAACTCCTGAACTGTCGGCAAGCACGTTGGTCTGAGTACCTAAGTCAGTTCAACCTCATTGTTCGCTTCCAGCCTGGCAAGCTCAGCACCAAACTGGATGCCCTTACTAGATGATGGGACGTCTACCTAAAAGAGGAAGGTAGCAACTATGCCACTGTCAACCCTCACAACTTCCATCCAGTATTCACCCAGGAACAGTTGGCTATGTCCCTCTGAGCGTCAACTCTGATCACACCCTCGCTGCATGGAGCTATCACCCTTGACACAGAAAAGCTTGATGCCAACATCCAAGCTGCCCTTCTGAATGATCCGATCTCAGCTGCTCAACTTCTGGCACCCACTGACCCCACGTTCACCCTGTCCCCCGATGGCCTACTACTACTCAATGACCACATCTTCATTCCGGACAATAACAACCTACGGATCCGTGTTTTGCAAACCAAGCACAATCATCCGTTAGCCAGTCACTTCAGCCAGAACAAGACTCTCAAGTTGGTCCGACAAGAGTACGCATGGCCTGGTATGTGCGACTTTGTCAAAGACTATGTCAATTCTTGTGTTGTTTGCAACCGAGTCAAGCTGCGCTGCCACAAACCTTACAGGCTCCTCAAGCAGCTTCCGGTGATAAGGCTGCCCACGGCTAGCCTTATAATTTTGCAATTTCCCTAGAATAGTGAACCCACGCACGCTATACAAAGTGTTCTTAGTGATGACTATAGACTCAGTCTTCATTATAGCACCTAGTCTTCAAAGTGAACTTGATCAGTTAATAGACATGAGTGTGACCATATTCAATGGCACGCACTAGGTCATTTGTATTGAGGGCACTACAAATCATTCTGAGACTAGTGAAAATAAACCACAGAGTCGCATACCAAAGCACGGTTAATCAGAATCTACTAGCTAGGTCTGATCCTATACTAGTCTAGCGAGGCAAAGTGAAGTCAACAGTGACCATTGAGTAATAGCGCAGGCATGCTTCAAGCGCACGCCATACTAAGCAGTGAAGTGTCTTAATACAGTGATTACCAAATACAAAGTGGAAGTGAAGGCATCCATATGATTTGGGTCTGGAACAAGGGGTCACTGTTTGATCACAGGGACGGTTCTGAACGGCATGTCTGATACCAGTCCAAGGCCAAGTGGGTGGATCACCAAGACCATTCTGAACAGGATGTCTGCTAAAGTTGATGAGGCACTACAACCCAGTTGAAGTCCCGAGGTTAGTAGAGGTCACCTCTAATGTGCACAATGTGATTGGCTTAGTCTCTTGGGACTAAGATGAGCAGTTCATAGGGGGCAAGCATATGCCTCGGTTGCCAAGAATAGCTCAAGTGATAAGCGCAGCACATGCTTTTGTGGCACAGCAAGCAGAACCAAATCGGGTCATTGTTACTGACCGCAGATAAACTGGATTAGGACTTGGTGGTGTTGGTCAAGACTGAAAACACACATGGTCAAGGCTGCAGCGCAACTCCTATCTGCTGTATACCACATGGTGCAAGGCTTGGATATGACTCATTTGTATCTGATACCCCTATCTCTTGATGTATTTAAGAATCCGATAGTTTAGTCTCTAGGTTTTAAGCAATTTACACCCCACATTTTGGACCTAAAATCCAGTGCGAGTGAGATTTGACTTTGTGTGATCAGACCCAATAAAGTGAACTAGCATCAGTGGAGCGAGAGCAACATTTTAAGTGACCAAGTGAGCAATTGTGAAGTCGGCAAGAGCACCATCACATCTAAGTCAAGTAAGCCAATTGGGCTAAAGTTAAGGATCCTTTGGTAGATCGGAGTGTATCTGAGGCGACTTGGAGTTCGTGCTAGATCCTCAAGAGTGTATCTGAGGTGACTTGGAGTTTGCGCTAGATCCTCAACATCTTGATTAGAATCGAGTGGTTAAGAAAGCCAATAGAACGAGAGCGTGCACTAGTTTTGAAACGAAGTCATCAAGCAATATTGAAGCATAGTAAAATCATATCGAGTTGAAGTCCACATTAAATTTGCGAGTTCAAAGACCCTACAACCCCTTCTATTACATCCTACATCTCTTTGTTCATCATCAAGGTCTTGGATAAGAAGATCCGTTGCCTAGCACATCAATAACCAGCACAAGTGTATAGCGCATGGCATTAGGCACCCGTCCCTTGAGCTAGTCTACATCACTCTCCCATAACTGTAAATACTTAGTCCCCCTTCGGATGAACATTATTGATCGAGTGGTCCTGACATGTGAGTATACCCTTGTTAAATACAGTCTTTGATATATTTATCTAGCTTATAGAAGTGGGATTCCATCTTTAGAACATTGAGATGGTTGCTGTGGGAATGAGTCTACAAAGTGGTTATCTCTAACCACTAACTAAAACACTCCTTATTGACTGTTATTTTACAGTCAGCCTTCCAAGAGGCCGGTGGATGGGCTTGCCGGGTGTGCCAGGGCTCAGTGCTGTGGGCGGGACCAGTCAACATGTGCAAACAATGCAGGAAACAGTGCCCAAGCACTGTTCCTTGTCATTTGTGGCACTCCTGCCACCGTTTTTGATGGGGAAAAGGTGTCAACAATGCGGAAATATATTTTGTCATTGTTGTGCACTGTTTCCCCCATTGTTGGGGGGCGGGAGTGGCTGGATTGGGCCAGGTGCGTTTGGATGATGCAGCCTTTTTTTCGGGGCCTGTAGCTATTTTTAGATAATAATGTAATTACCATGACACATCCGCTATAATGCTCTCGCTGTCGTCTGTCACAACGTCCAGTGAGCTCGGGGGCACCTCAAGGCACACGAAAAAAAATTACAAAAAAATCATATTAAATTGAAATAAAATATATACATGATGCGGGTGGCTCTACCAGCCACCCACTGTGGAATAATGAGATAACGAGCAAAAAACAATGCATGTGATGCATTGTTTTTGCTCTGGGGGGTGCCTGGTCATACGTGGGCCACCCACTGCCACGGCCATGCTCGTGTCGCTGCCCTGCTCGTGTCGCGACTGCATTTGCACTGGGCTTTGGCACCTCCGGTTGCCCTTGCGGTCACTTCGGCGTCGTCTTGCTCGCTGCCCCTCCTCCTGCTCTCCACCCTCCTCCTGCTCCCCCTCCTCTTGTTCTCCGTCCCTCCTCCTGCTCTCCACCCTTCCTGCTGGTCTCCGCCCCTCCTCCTGCTCCTCCCTTCCATCCCTTGTGCTCCCCCTCCTTGCACTCGTGCTCATCCTCAGTCCGCTTGTCGGTCAGTGGGTGACAGCAGGCGAGACGGTGGGGCGGGTGAGACGGCAAGGTGGGCGAGGCGAGATGGTGAAGTGGGTGAGACGGCAAGGTGGGTGAGGCGAGGTGGGTGAGGTGGACAAGGTGGACGAGAGGGTGAGGTGGTAGAGGGTGAGAGGTCGAGAGGTCGAGGTGGGTAGAGGGCGAGAGGGCGAGGTGGGTGAGGGCGAGGTGGGCAAGGTGGGCGAAACGGGTGAAAGGGCGAGAGAGGCAAAAGGGCGAGAGGGGTGAGAGGGGCGAGAGGACGAGGTGGCGAGAGGGCAAGGGCAAGGGAGAGAGGGCGAGCCGGTGGGTGAACAAGAGGTGAACAAGGGCGAGAGGGCGAGGCAGAGGGCGAAGCAGAGGGCGAGAGTGCCCACCGCTGTTGTTGTCATTGTGCCTCCTGCTGTTGTCATCGTCATGCCCATTGTCATCATCGTGCCTGTCGTCATCGTCCTGTGCCTGCCGTTGCCATCCTGGTCGAGAGGGCGATGGTGGGCAAGTGGGCGGTAGTGGGTGAGTGGGCGGTGGTGGGCAGGGAGATGTCCGAGCCCACATCCCTGTCACAAGGGGAGGGGGTCAGTCGCTTTGTTGCATCGTCATTGACGCAAACGCGGTTCTGTGAGGGAAAAGGTAGGTTAGTAGGGATGTAAATACATAAGAAACATATATACTTACCTTTTTTTGTGTTTTGGGGCAGCTTCGCAGTGAGGGGGTGAGGGAGGTGGTGGGGAAAGACCAAGATCAATCACGGTTTGGCAAGTTCCGGCTGCGCCTCCTATTGGCTGGCACATGCGGCCTGTTCCCTCATCCATTCCGTTGTCAACCAATGGAATGTCTCCAATGCGTGCAGAATGCGATTTATATCCATTAAAACCATCAGGAATTGTTTTCAGCATATAAATTCACATGTAAATTTAATTTTAATGAGATATAACCAAGCTGAAATATTTTATGAGCAAAACAATCTCAGGCTCAGGCCAATGATAGGACTCTAAGACCTCCATATGTGGATTCCAAGAGGCAGAAGATACAAAATAAATATATAAAAATGGTATACATACTGGCTGATAGTAATAGTACTGAGATTTGGAGCTCCCCTGGCCAACTTATTAATTTTAAGATGTAAACTAAGAAGCTGTGAACAACGGGGTGGATTCCGTAGTCAAATTAACTCATGGATATGTCAAAAATCAGACACTGGTTTGTATCATAGGATTTACATTGGAAATTCAGGCTAATTTTTTTATATGATGTATTCACTTACACAAGGATCTCAAATGCAAAGTTTTTGTGATGTTTCACCTTGTCGAATGAGTGGTATTTGAGAGGTTGGAAACATTGGGAGGATGTGAATCACCACACGAAAATAGTAACTCACGTTCTGAGCTCATTCTTTCTCTCAGAATTTATTCGGACATTTTTAAATACATATATTACAGTAGTCTACTTACATACCGATGATAATTCAATGGATTTTTTTCATAGGTCAACAATATTGGCGATTCTGAGGTCGATGAGCAGAACGTGGGCTGGCTGGACCGCCAGTGCCAGCCAATCACGTCACCCATGGCATCCACTGGATAAGCCATCAACGACAATGACTGTTGTTGATTCTTGAATCTCCCCTCTCCCTTCTTCACCCAACACCCCAAACGATGCCTCAAGACTGAAAAAATGATAAGTAATATGTTTTATTCATGTTTACATACTCTAATATGCCTTTAATTCAACCTTAGGCCAACGAACGTCGACTTGAAGTCGACGTTCATTTTCCCTGTTTCTCTGGCCCCTCCCCTTCAATAGGGATGTGGGCAGGGGTAGAAACACCACCCCTCTGTGTCCCTCCCCTTCTATATGGATGTGGGCAGAGGGACAAACCTCCCTCCCCTCTCTGCCTTTTGCCTGGCCACCCACCCTCTTGCCCAGCCATCCTCAACTTCCCCACCTGCCACCTCTCGTCGCCCTCGCTCTACACCCCTCCCCTCAAAGAGGGCTCCCAAAAACAATGACGGCTTTCGAGGAACAGAAACTGCAAGCAAGGGGATGGTGACGGACGAACCATGGCGATGAACGAGGACGAGGATGGATGACTCTGGTGATGGACGACTCCAGCAAAGGGCAACGATGAGCGAGAACAACGACGGATGACTCTGGCAAAGGGTGACAACGAGCGAGAATGAGGACGAGCAAGGACAGCAATGAGCAAGAACGAGGACGAGCAACGAGGGCGACGAGTGACAACAACAACGAGCAATGACAACAACGGCAATGAGCAACGATGACAACGGTGATGAGCGAGGACAACGAATGGCAACAGCAGCAGGTGACGATGGCGGGCACGAACAGGGGCAGCAGGGCCAGTGGAAGGTGACGGCAGGCACAGAATGTCAATGCCTGTGCCTTTGTCTTGCTTTTACCTTTGCCCTTGCCCCTTGTTCTCCCTCCCTCGCCCCTTGTTTTCCTCCACCTGCTGCTGCCCGCCGATTGCCCTCCTCGTCCCAACCTTCACTGGTTCACCCCTCACTCTTCACCCCTCACTGGCACCCCTCAACCCTTGCCCTCAACCCTTGCCCTTCACCCCCCTTGCCCTTTGCCCTTGCCCTTCACCACCACCCTTCACCTCCTGCCCAGCACCCAGCAGCAGCAGCTCAAACACAAGGGAGAGCATGAGGAGGGGGGCACGAGCACCTGAACAACGAGCGAGGAACGTGCCCAACAAGCAACGACTGAGCCCAACAAGCAACAACGAGTGAGGAACGGTCCAAATGAGCAGAGGAGGGGCAGAGGGAGTGGAGGAGGGTCCCATGAGAGGTGAATGGAGAGCACGGAGGGGGTGGAAGGGTACAGTGGGCGCCAAACGAGTACCAGAGGGGCAGAGGGTACTCGCTGAGCAGAGGAGGCAGCAGTGGGTGACCACCTGTCCCCCTGAGCAGAAACAGCACATCATAGCACACTGTTTCTGCTCGTTTGGTTTTTATTTCATGGCAGGTGGCTAGTAGAGCCATCTGCAGCATGTATTCCTTTTATTACAATATAATATGATTTTTTTGTTCTTTTTTTGCTGCAAAAGGGAAGGGGCCAGGACAAGAGCAGAAACGACATGTCATGACACATCGTTTTTGCCTTATCTTGTTGTGGGTGGCTGGTAGAACCTATGTATATGTTTTATTTCAATTTAATATGATTTTTTTGTAATTTTTTTGTGCATTATAAGATACCCCGAGCTCCCCAGACGTCGTGACAGACAATGGTGAGAGCATTACAAGGGATGTGTCATTGTAATTACATTATTATCTAAAAATAGCTACAGGCCCCCAAAAAAAAGGCCGTGTCATCCAAATGCACCTGGCCCAATCCATCCATTCCTGCCCTCCGACGATGGGGGAAATGGTGCACAATGATGAGGAAATATGTTTTCTCATTGTTGGCAGCTTTTCCCCGTCGAAAATGGTGGTGGGAACACTGAAAACGATGAGGGACAATGCTCGGGCATTGTTTCCTGCATTGTTTGCTTGTGTTGACAGGTCCTGCCCACAGCATTGAGCCCCGGCACACCTGGCAGGGCCTCTCCGTGGGTGGACTGCTTAATCACAGTCCAGACATGTGAGTATACCCTACTTAAATACAGTATCTGATGCAGAATTCCAGCGTACATGGCTGGGAATCCACCAAAGCTGTTGAGTCAGTTGAGAAAACCTTGCTTTCCTTGAACACCTTCTAGGTAGTTTTTATCTTTATTCTGATGCATATGTTAACTGACACCCTCGATAGAGTTACATTTTATCCCCATTCCACTCAAATATTCATCATGTATAGATGAAAGGGACCTATATAAAGTTCATACATATTACATAAGAATTTTTGGCAAGATTATCAGAGAAAGAATGATCAGTTCCAGACTGGGCAAGCTTGGGTGAAGTAGCCCCCAACATGCACCTGGTTTCTCATGTCTCTTCTTCCTCATTCACAGTCACTCTCATGCCAGAACTGTTTGGCATCCCTATCTACACTGGCAGTGCTGGCTACAGAGCTCCACTCTACTCTCCAGCTGAATGGTGCTCACCCCCTCACGATGAATGGCACTCTCCCCTAGTGTTGCCATGACTCAAGTCACTTGATTTCAAGAATATGCTGCTGTGTTTCTAGTAAAATAGCTAAAATTATGAAAATATTTGTAAGACTAGAATATCTAAAAAGCTGAGGGGTCATTTGCCAACTCTAAGCGATATAATTGTTATTTCTCATGCTATTTGATCGACTACATTTTGGCTCAAAAAGCAGCTACAAATGTAGTCGATCAAATAGCATGAGAAATAACAATTATATCGCTTAGAGTTGGCAAATGACCCCTTGGCTTTTTAGATATTCTAGTCTCACAAATATTTTCATAATTTTAGCTATTTTACTAGAAACACAGCAGCATATTCTTGAAATCAAGTGACTCGAGTTGTGGCAACACTACTCTCCCCCTACACCCCAACAACCCAGGATGCCATCTCCAAATTTGAGGAGGAAGCCCACTGGCACTATTGATCCAATAAATGTGCCTGCTCCCACCCTTCAGCGTGGGCCCTCCCCCACCCCAACTAGTGCTGCCGTTGCAAGTGCTGATCCTAAATCCTCAGGGCCTTCCGCTCCACCAAATGTGCCCAAGATCCCTCTTATTCAGGAGATTAAAGATTTCTTGGCAACGGCAGAGGGTGGAAAGGTCTTTCATCGAGAATGCAGTTTAATGGAATTTGAAATCTTTAATTGCAAGGTGGAAGAAGGGCTCGATGGGCTCGATGGGGAGAAAATTAAGTAAGTTTCCTAAGGCTTTTTCACACTCGCATCTCAAGATAAATTTGGCAGACTGAGTTATATAGATGGCGGTGTCATCACACAATGCCCGTCCTTTCAGCACAAAGCCATCGCACCTATCCTGATGGCAGCCAGGGGGTGGGGTGAGCTCTCTGAGAGCCTCATCAAGTCATGTGGGGTGCCAACAATCCATTTGTTTGATGGTGAGGAATACAAGGTTCCTGACTATGTGCTCTATGAGAACACTGTCCCTGGATCGTCGTCTGGTGAACCGACAATCATCCTCAAGATCGCAGTGGCCCAAAGCTGCGCCTCTGTAAATTATGTCACAGTGAAGTCGCTCACAGGATCCTACAGCTCAGTTCATCTGGTGATTACAGTCAATATCAACCTCACAACATTACCAAATGATCAGAGATTAAAAAATCAGAAGGGGGAGGTAATCAAGGTGAAGAAGCTCAAAGAACTTTCTGTAGAGTCATGGGCATCTGTCGTGCACGACTCACTGCTGCTAGAGAATGAGGAAGGCAATGCTCTCTCCCCCCAGCATCTCCTGGAATTCAAACATTGAATTATCTCAGCAAAGGGCAAGATAGTGAACCCCAAGCACCTCGCAGCTGAATACTATGCTGCTGAGCAAGGCCCATCGGTGGGCTTGACCAGGACATGTCAAGTATTTGCTATCCATGATCTGTATAAGGTTTTTTTTACCATCTTCCTTGTGCATTAATTAGTACTGAATGGTGTAGATAGGTATTCTTGGAGTCTGATACGCTGACCACACCAACTGCACCAACCACACCTGGTGAACTGACGCCCAATATGTTATCCCCTAACTGCCCTGCTCCAGATACCAACAGTCCCCCTGATACCAACAGTCCTGATCCCAATGGTCCCGACAGTCCTGATCCTGACACAGAATTATTGCTAATGCCTGCTTCAAAGAGGATAGAATATCCTAACCACCTCTTCTTGAGGAAAGTGCCAGCTCATGTTGACCCAGATGCAATGATATTTTCATTGCCTCTAGATGACCTATTGGAGTATGTCCAGGTGGCCATCAGGCATGAAAATATTCAATCCCTAAAAGATGGGAAAAAGAGGACCATTGAGGACACCAATGAGTTGGCCAAGGCATCGCTGCTCAATTTGTGTCAAAGATGTGAGGGGGGAAGCCAGCTGTGCCCAAGATCAAGGTGGAGGTCAGGCCTAACAAGAAGCATCATGGGAATTGATTCTGTGAGCCCTCCCTGCTTGACGTTCTTTGTATTGTGTACTTCTTGCATCTGTAGCCCCTCTCCATGAACAATTTACTACATTTTTGCTCCTGCTCAACCCCCCCCAGACATTTGTTATATGCTGATCTCGTATTTACCAATGCACATGTATCCTTCTATGCCTTTGTGAAATTGATGCCTGCTTTAGCTGCTTATGCCCACTTGAACCCATGAGATTTAAGGTCAAGAGGGGGCTTAAATCCCATGGACCGCTGACTGCCCAACATTGCCACAATGCCCAATGTTAGTCTCACTGCTGCCCAATTATCTTATCTCATTCATGCTGTGAACGCCAGCTTGGGTCAAGAACCCATAGAACCTGCCGATGCGATTCTGGAGCTCCCCAGCATTCTCTTGGCAGCCATGTCAATTTCCTCACAGGCAACTCTATCTTATTCAGAAACCCCAGTCAGCAATGGTCCAGCCATTTTCAGTGCAAGACCTTCCAGGAATATCAAGGGATTTGATGAAGATGACAACAACTCTACCCTCTTTTCATCTTGCTCTCAGCTGCCTGCACCAACCATCTCTCCATCTCTGTTACTCTTTGAGAATAATGAAATCTTTGGTGAGCACTCATACCCTCCAAGTCTTTGAGACCGACTGAGCAAATCATGACATTCTGTTACCCTCATCACCAGCTGCCCCTCATGAGGACTTCCCAGACAGTGCAGATGATGTATGCACAAGGCTAGCTGGTGAATATCAAGCCTATTTCTTGCTTGGAACAGGTGTTGAATGTCTCATTTACAGCAGCATGCCAGACAGCTGAACGTGCGTCGTTCAGCCTGGATTTTAACAAGCTTGTTTTGTCAATTCAGGAAGCACAGATGGAAGAAGACCCTTTTGGCCTGTCCCTCCTATGCACAGCATACATGGCAGCAGGTCTGGATTTTGAATCATTACTCACTGTTGCTGGCCAAGGTGCCCCTTTCCAACTCAAGCTTCCTCAGGTTGATGAGCTGCCAGAGAATATTGGACAGGGACCTTCTCTAGGGTCAGTGCTTGGTAAACACAATCAAAGGGCAAACCTGAGCAACACGGAACCCAATCCTGACCATGTCAATTGTCCTCATGGAGGAAAACAGCTTAAAAGAAAGGGAAAACAAGCACAGCAGGAATGAGTAGGTGGCTCTGCTACATTTGCACCATCTGGTGGGCTGGAGCCTTCCATTGAGAACTCCATGGTATGGGTTCTCTCTCCAGAAGCAATGGAATTGATTTCACAAGGCACTGTGGCCAATGACTGGGATGCATTCTTGAAGAGAGGCATATGGGAGGGGGCATCTATCGCACTACAGACCAATTCGCTGAAGGCTATATCAGAATGGTGTACAAGGTCTGATGCCCTGGCACGGGCTGTCTCATTTATGGGAATGATCAACAGTATTCATTTCTCAGCCAAGGTCAAAAGGTGGGGCCTTGTTATTCTGTTTTGCTCTATACGTATTAACCGCCATTTGAATGTTAGCACCTGAAGCAAGAAACAAGTGACTGTGGATCAAATTATCCAGCAGAATGACCTGAATATGAGCCAGACCAGTTTCAAACACTGGCTCAAGCTTGGCCATACCTATGTGCGTCTTGCTGGGGCTGGTAAGTGGGAAGGTTTCTCTTCTGCAATTGCGGTCTGAAATCAGCTCTGCAGGAACTATCTACTTTCTTATATTGATTGCAACAGTTGGGTTGAAGAAAAGTTTCAATGATATGCATGTTACAACCATGGACAAGCTCACAAACATGATTCTCAATCCAATGCTGGGTAAGTTGTTTTTGACTTATGGGTTTCAAGCTGTGTTGCTGTTTCATCTAGATTCGCCCATTGGCTGTCTCATAATCTTTGTTCTCATTCCAGCCATCCAGAAACTTCAACTGTGCTGGCTGATTGGTAGCTCATCCATGTTCAATCGGGAGCTGTTACAGGAGCTGAAGCTGTCGTCATATGTCAATCTCTCCAATGTTCTCTAGTCTGACTACTTCTTCTCTCATCTCCAGAAAGAGTGTGTTTGATACTTTGACTCTGGAAGTTCTTTGCTCATGTTTATCTTTCCAGCTCCATGTTCTACTCACAGGATGTGGGAAAATGGGCTTGCTGTCTCCAATCAGCTCCTCCTTCAGAGAATCTTTTCTCACTTACTGACCTTGCTTACTTGGTTATGTACAAACCCTTTCAGCCTGAAGAGCGTCCTCCTTCACCCTGTACTGATATTGAAGAGGATGAGGAAGATGATGATGTTCTGAAGCACCCTCAGATCAATGAACTCAGGCATAGCCTTAACTTCTCTGTCAAGGATGACTTGAAGGATCTTTACATTATCAACACCTTGTTTGATCCAGATCTGGCAGCCAACCACAAGTTTCACGGTTCTAGAAAGGATTGCATGGCCAGTTATGACTTTACAGAAGAGCAAAGATGTCAAGCGGGAAATAGGCCTTGGGTGACAGGTCTGGAGGATTTGGTGGCACAGGTGCATCATCAGAAAGCTTGGGAGCTCTTATTAACATTTACTTTAGCTTACAAGTCTTCTGTCTGATGGACACAAGGCTGACATTGATTCCTTCATTTCTTTTGATCCTGCTCTGCTTGGAGAGTGAGTTTCCGACCACATTCATGCTTGAGAATTTTAGAATTTAATTATGCTTACCGCAAGACACTCCAAGTAAACAACAAGAATGGGGGCCTACTGCTTTTATACATACCAAACATGGAGAAAGAAATGCGGGACAGCTTGCTTGACCGAGTAGAATGCATATGGCCAGGTATCGTGCAAAATGTTGACTTGGCAAGCACAGGGAGCAACCACCTGTTCGACTGCTTACATTTTTCAATGTATAATTGGAATACAACTCTGGTGCATGGCCACAAGTATTCGCCATATAATTTCTCATTTGTTATATTAGGGTACTCATGCTCCAAGAGATGTTGATATTCTGAAGCTGAGAAAATGAGATGTCACAAGGGCTCCAGGTGTTCATCAATATATCCCTCAGGCTTCAAAGGAGTTGATCGACAACTGCGAGCAATACAATGGAGGCCTTTGCAGACGTATTCAACTGGCAATCTCATATGGTATGTTCCTTTTCTTACTAGCAGATGTACCGTTGATAAAATCTTGTTAGCTGCACCATTTACTTCCAGAAAAGTATGCGGTGCTCCAAGAGTGGATTGATTCATTTCCCGAAAACGAAGTATCTCCTGTTGAACCATTTGGTGGCCTGGTTGCCAATCTAAATGTAAGTACCACCTACCATCAGGACTGGAAAGACTGGGATATCTGTGGTGTTCTTGTCATCTCTGACTGCATTGATGGGGCCATTGTCTGTGACAAAATTGGACTATGTATTGCAAGCAGAAACAGTGATTTTTTTCTTTTTCCTTTGAGAAGTATTAGTCATTTTAACAGTCACTACAAAGGAAAGAGAGTATCATTAGTTTACCATACAGATAGATCGGCGGCTCTGTGGCTTTTGATTAGAAATAGTTGGAAAGGACACAAGGATCTACGGTAAGGTACTCTAGATATTATGATTGTTGATTTCACTGTGGTACTAGAAATCATTTTGGTTTTTTGGACTCAGGGCAGGGGCAGGATCACTCTAAAGACTTGAACATGACACGCTGGCATTTGTTTCTTCACCCCTTCTCTGTCCTCTTCCTTCTTCTCCTGACATTATGGCCTCTGAACCTTGCTGCAGTTGAGCAGAACCCCCTCCTCCCAGCTCCCAGGAAGCAGAAAGGTGCCAAAAAGAAGGGGTGCAAGCATGCAAGAGAGGACTCCATCGCTGCTGAAGAGGCACCTCCTTCCCTCAATGGTTTGACACATGAAGAGGAGCAACTGCTGCAAAAATTAAATGCAAAGAAAAAGGAAGCCAAGCAACAGAAGAAGATGGATGACACAGCCGGTTTGACTTTTTTTTTCTTGATGCCCTATTTGTTCTTTCTTATAATATTAATGTGTCCTTAGAGGTACGGCGTCGGAATGAGGAACTCATGGCGCAAGAACTTGAATCTGGCCAGGAGTCTAGTGATGATGAATGTAACCCCCCCAAGGACCAAACCCTGCCTCCTACTAAAAGAGCAAGGCAAGAGATGCTGCCACCGGCTCCTCACCTTGATGAAGAGGAGGCAGCTGTTGTTTCTCAAATTAACCCAGCTCGTATTCGTTCAGGTATCCTTCCCCACATTTTTATTTGACTCTCACTCAATGGTCCTCCAGTCACAGACACTTGGCCTGAAGGCATCACAAACTTCTTCCAATGCTACTTCAACTTCTGAGCCACTGTCAACTGGGACAAAGAGAAAAAGTCACCTATCTGAGTCATCTGACAGTGACAGCGAGGGTAGGAACAAGGACAATGATAGTAGCAGCGTGGAAGAAGAGTCTTCAGATGAGGAAGATGAAGGGGGAGACAAGAATGTCAACAGAAATGGTGTATGTTTGCATTCAATTGCCTGTTTCATATTTCATTATTCTTTCCTCAATTTAGCTGACTGTTGTCAAAATGGGAAGAAAGATTTCCAAATTGAAGAAACATCGGATGGGTCCAGATAGGGCCAAAGCGCATCAGACTCATAGCTGTATAGCGGGGCAGGATTTTTCCCCCACCACAAGGTGACTAGCCTTTCATGCCAAGGTCTACACCAGAGAGTGAGCATCTCTGGGTGATGCATTCCCTCCTCGAAACCCAGAGGATGGCAGCAGGTTTTTGTGCGATCTGCTGAAGAAAGCTGCTAAGAGCGACAACACAGGGATTCAGCCTTCTCTTTCCCAGACCTTCAAGCAGGTAGTAAAATGGGAGGATATCTATGACAGATTGGTTACCTATGTAAGCACTGATTTATTTTTCTTTCTCCATCCTCTGAGATTTTTAACAGGCCCTGTATGGAAAAAGCGATCTCACTAGCCAGCTAGTGACAAAGGTTAAGCAATGCATTATGAGCCACTATGGTATTCCAGGGGGTCTCAAGGTCCCTGAGTTGGCAAAAAGGGTCAAATGGCTACTAAAACGAGGGAACTTCAAGAACGGCAGCATAGACCTTGAGGTATCATTTAAGTACATTTCAGTAGATGTTGAGTCTAATGGCTACCTCAGGCAGAAACATTTGACAGGGGAAAAATATTCAACCACCCTCTCATCACTGAGATCATCCTCCAGCAATGGTTCAGCAATGCCAAGTCAGATGTGTGGGCTCGCAATGAGATGGTGAAGCAGAAGAGAATATTTCCCTCAGTTATTGTTCTTGTCATCACCTGTGTAAGCCATCAAACATGTTTAATACCTTTGTCTCATTTGCTTTTTTAGATTGAGAGCTGCCTCATGGCTTGGAGTTTGGGCAAGGAAACTAAGCATAACTTCAGTGAAGACAACTGTAGTGAGAGGTAAGCTCTAGTCTACCAGAGGGCCTTGGTTCTAACTACTGGCCAGGTATCATTTTTTTATGAAAGCTTATGAGTCGCTCCAGAAGAATGCGCCTGATCATGTCAATAATTTAGAGGAGGAGATGTTTATATATGTAATGTGAGTTTTTCTTTTGAGCTACATTCTTATTTCTTATGCCTGGTATCAGGAAGTACAAGCACATGGGAGTCTCAGTGGAGGAGGAGGTTGAGGATGCAGTAGAGGATGAGTCCCATGGTGTCAATTTTGCTGCTCTCAATGCTGCTGCTGCTAGTAGGCATGCTTCACACTCATCCACCGCCTAGTCTTCTATCCTGCTGGCCAGCTGCAGGCCATATAATGTCCTACATTCGTATTTACAATATCCAGTGTCATCATTAGATTCAATTTTCTGTCTTTTTTATTTGCACTATTTTACACAATACATGATTTTTAATGGAACATTGGGCAGACAATAAGTGCATAAAGTGTTGTAATGTAATGTTTTGAGGGCCAGGGTACTTTAGTAAAGCGTAGTTTTTATCTCAGGGTAGGCAAGCAACTCTAACCAAAAATACACCAACAAGGCACTTTGTGCTTCAAATACTCTGTCTAGTATATGGACTTGTGTCAAAGTGACGTTTAGTGTATGGATCTGTCCAATTTGCCTTTGGTGCCCAAAGTCACACAAAGTAACATTTTGGTTGCACTTCTGGTGTAGGGCTTTTTCCTGATGTACTTGAAAAGGCGTTCAATGAGGGCAGTCCAAACAAGTACTCAGCAACAGCGCTCGAGTTCTTCTTGGTTCACAAGTGCTTTGCACAGGAAAGGGGTGTCAGCACAGCCAAAAGTATCCATGGAGCATTCTGTACTTACTGGGACACAATGTGAGTCCATCCCTTTCTCCCATTGTGAATTCGTTGATTGAGAGCCAGGCAAAAGGGATGAGGGGCAGTACGCCAGCACATATTTGCTGGACAAGAAGACAGACACAGTATGGGGTTGTCCGGCCTGAGCGGGCAATGTCAAGGCCATTGTGCAAAGTGTCAAGACTCAGGCAAAAAAGAAAGGGTCAGCAGCGACACACAATCATGCAGACACTATAACAATTAAGGAGCTTCAGCAGCTCATGCAATGGTCACTGAAGGAATGTCCAGATCACCTTCTAGATGAGATGATCTTGGATGTCAAGACACTCAAATTCTGCATGACGCATGCACTCATGTGGGCCTTTATGAGTTCGGTGTTTACTCTGTGGACGCGGTGAGTCATGTCAAATATCCGATGCTAGTAGGGGCCCTCACTTCATTGACATGACCTAGGTGCTTTGAGCTTCTGAGCCTTCAGTGTCTTGATATCAAGGAGGGGTGCTTTGGACCAGCACTGTCAGCCATGTCCACTAGAATTCTATATCAAAGACTGTATATTAACAAGGTATACTTATATGTCAGGACTGTGTGGGTGGGGTAGGGGATTTGTTTGGAGATGGGATGGGGTAAATAAATGACCAAACAACCCTCCTGGGGTGGGGCAGTGGGTAAGCCTGCAGGGGGTGGGGAGGGGGCAGAAATCCATCCAAAACAGGCAGAGATGGTGGATAGGGGCTATTACAATGAGGAGGAATGGCGGGGTAGGTTCTGGGTGTGGCAGGGGCCTAAAAATGGGTTGGGCAGGTCCAGATATGAATGGTAATAATTATCATGGCATTCACAGGGTGCGGGATGGGGCAGTGGGGCTGTAAAAGGCAAAAAACTCAAAAAAAGCTGAGTCTTTTGCGATTTTAATACAAAACAAATGAATATCAAATCGAATACTTAATATTTTGGTGTGAAACTTTGAGGACATATGTATCGATAGTAGAGGGTGCTTCACAAATATTTTGAGCATTTATTATGAATTATGGGATGCGCCACACCGCAGGGAATGGCAGGTGTGGCAGGTTTTGATGTGTTCTTCCTAATTAGACAGCTTTTCCCAATTTGGCAAATCTACACATCCATGCAGAATTCTGGCTTCCCCTCGCATTATTTTGCTTAGCTTTGGCTGAGCGGGATGTCAGGTACATTGATACCTTCCTGTAGACCCTATTATCATGTGAAACAGGTGAGAACTCATTGAGATATGGCAAATGCAATTTTGGCTACTATAATGGATGGTGCACCCATGCATTCCCGGGCATGTTTAGGGCCATTTGACTCAGCCAAAAATGATAAAATACATGTCTGAGAGTAATGGCATCATGTATAGTGACAGGAGGTGTCTGGGTGTAGTAGATATGAGGGGGTGTATAGGTACACCAGGAGACCCACTCCAGATACCCCACTAAATGCAGCTCTGACAGTCTGAAAGTTGGTACATGGATAGTACATATTTATTTATGAATTTAACAGATTTTATCATAATTTTATATGGCCTTGAAGTTGGGTTATTGACTGACTTTCCAGAATCTAAAATATTCTATTGAACTCCAGAATGAGGGATATTGGCACATGTAAGATCATGATAAATGACAATAAATAGAGAGAAACAGATTGAGGTACTTGTGAGGGCATGGGGATGAGTCTGTGTAAAGTTATTGAGAGGAGAAGGAGGAGGCGATCCCCTACATCAGTATCTATGCAAATACTTGCCAAATCTGCATATCTCACCCGTCCAATGGTGTGTTCAGGTCAGGATAATGTCTGTTAGCATATTTTAGTACTGGTGGATGAGGCTTGGATGTGTGGGGGAAATGGTATTTGAGAAATAGTGGAAAATGCACGAAAAATATGAAAATATTTAAAATGAGTACCTTGGACTTGCTCAAAAATTACCAAACTTCATATATGAGGGCCTATTAACACTTCAAAGAGATTGCAAAAAATTGGATGAGATTCTGAGCAGTGGGTGGAAAGATATGAGAAAGGGTATCAGAATGACAGCACTGGCATCAACACCCATTCACAACTTTATGATTGCAAGTATGGATGCCCTTTCTCATATCTTTCCACCCACTGCTCAGAATCTCATCCAATTTTTTGCAATCTCTTTGAAGTGTTAATAGGCCCTCATATATGAAGTTTGGTAATTTTTGAGCAAGTCCAAGGTACTCATTTTAAATATTTTCATATTTTTCGTGCATTTTCCACTATTTCTCAAATACCATTTCCCCCACACATCCAAGCCTCATCCACCAGTACTAAAATATGCTAACAGACATTATCCTGACCTGAACACACCATTGGACGGGTGAGATATGCAGATTTGGCAAGTATTTGCATAGATACTGATGTAGGGGATCGCCTCCTCCTTCTCCTCTCAATAACTTTACACAGACTCATCCCCATGCCCTCACAAGTACCTCAATCTGTTTCTCTCTATTTATTGTCATTTATCATGATCTTACATGTGCCAATATCCCTCATTCTGGAGTTCAATAGAATATTTTAGATTCTGGAAAGTCAGTCAATAACCCAACTTCAAGGCCATATAAAATTATGATAAAATCTGTTAAATTCATAAATAAATATGTACTATCCATGTACCAACTTTCAGACTGTCAGAGCTGCATTTAGTGGGGTATCTGGAGTGGGTCTCCTGGTGTACCTATACACCCCCTCATATCTACTACACCCAGACACCTCCTGTCACTATACATGATGCCATTACTCTCAGACATGTATTTTATCATTTTTGGCTGAGTCAAATGGCCCTAAACATGCCCGGGAATGCATGGGTGCACCATCCATTATAGTAGCCAAAATTGCATTTGCCATATCTCAATGAGTTCTCACCTGTTTCACATGATAATAGGGTCTACAGGAAGGTATCAATGTACCTGACATCCCGCTCAGCCAAAGCTAAGCAAAATAATGCGAGGGGAAGCCAGAATTCTGCATGGATGTGTAGATTTGCCAAATTGGGAAAAGCTGTCTAATTAGGAAGAACACATCAAAACCTGCCACACCTGCCATTCCCTGCGGTGTGGCGCATCCCATAATTCATAATAAATGCTCAAAATATTTGTGAAGCACCCTCTACTATCGATACATATGTCCTCAAAGTTTCACACCAAAATATTAAGTATTCGATTTGATATTCATTTGTTTTGTATTAAAATCGCAAAAGACTCAGCTTTTTTTGAGTTTTTTGCCTTTTACAGCCCCACTGCCCCATCCCGCACCCTGTGAATGCCATGATAATTATTACCATTCATATCTGGACCTGCCCAACCCATTTTTAGGCCCCTGCCACACCCAGAACCTATCCAGATCGGAA